CCCACTTTTAGTATTTAAAAAACACAGGGAGATTCCTCATCTCCTGTGGTACCCGTGCCAAGGAGCAGTTCCCTCTTGTTTTTCCGTCCTGTCCTATTCCCCTGCTGTCTCTCCTCTTCCCCCAGCAGGGGCTTGCTGAGTTCCTGCCAGCTTCCTTCTGTGGTACCTTCAGGGCTGACTCCTCTGATCTTGCGGTCACATCCACACTTTTCCAGCTCCCCCCGGCTGCAGGCCCGGGTCACGGCAAAAGCGAGCCCAGCTGAGGAGACAGCGTGGACGAAGGCTGACTCGCGGGTGCCTGTGGGGAAAAGGTGCGTTATTCAGAAGCAGCTCCCAGCCAGAGTGTCAGGCCAGGGTCTGGTGGAATCAGGTTTAAATCCCCACTTGGCCATGGAAGCTTGGTCGGTGATCTTGGGCTTCTCGGCCTAATCTACCTCACAGGGTTCCTATGAAGGTGAAAAACACAAGAGAGGAGACCAATATAAGCCACTGGTCCCAGGGTTGCCAGCCTCCAGGTGGGGCCTGGAATTCTGCTGGAGTTACAACTGATCTCCAGACTATAGAGGGCAATTCTCCAGTAGGGTAGCCAGGTCGTACCTGGCAGCCGGCAGGGGGATACTTGGTCCTCTCCGAAATCTTCCATCGCCGACGCTGGGGGCGTGTGTGACACTCTAGCTTTTGGACAAAACACTATGGTTTGTAGCTGATTTTACCATAGAGGCCCAAAAAGTAGTGTCACCATGCCGTGTCGGCAACGTGATGATGTCACTTCCGTCATCACATCACCTTTTGGGCCAGTTGGGGGCGGGATTTCCCCCACCAGCTAGCTGGCCAGCAGCAGGGAAGCGCCCCAGAAAAGCTGGGGTGCACAAGCCCCCAGTGGAGGTCTGGCAAAGAAAATGGCAGCTTCAGAGGGTCAACTTGATGGAAGTCCCTCCCTGTTGATCTCCTTCTGCTCCCCAAATTCTGCCCTCTCCAGGCACCGCCCCCCAAGTCTCCAAGAACTTCCCAAGCTGGAGTTGGCAAACCTATTGGGTCCCCGCTGGGGAAAAAGCCGTGTTATACCTGAAGTACATAAGCCATGGCTGCCAGCTCCAGGCTGGGAAATACCTGGAGATTCTGGGGGTGGAGCCTGGGGAGGGAGGGGTTAGGGGAGGGGAGGGACTTCTTCTCTGCTATGGAGTCCAGTCTCCAAAGCAGCCATTTTCTCCAGCAGAACTGGTCTCGGTTGTCTGGGACGCAACTATAATAGCAAGTGATCTCCGGTCGGCAACACTAACGTGACGTCTTCGCACCGGGGACGTTGGGGGTGATGCTGTAGTTTTTAGGTAAACCCTTTAGTTTTGAAGGCAAAAAACCATGGAGTTTTGCCCAAAACCTAGAGCGTCACCCCCCCCCCCATGACATCCCCTACGCAATGACGTCTGGGTGATGTCATCCCGGAGAAGAGGCTGGATCCCCCCGTCAGCAGCTTGGTAGGACCTGGCAACTGATACAGATGAAGGGTGTGTACACAATGTATGTTTTCCAAACACACGTCACTCCCTCAGGACTGCATCATAAGGAGTGTTTTGCTGGTGCTTTGTGAGCGGAATTGTTTCCTAACCCCCTCCTCAATTTCATCCATTCCCTGAGCCACTGAATATACTGAGACAGCTGGACAAGCTTGAGGGGCCATGGCTCAGTGGCAGAACATCTGGTTTGCCTGCAGGAGGTCACAAGTCCAGCATCTCCACTTAAAAGGACCAGGCAAGCCGGTGAGGCGAAAGATCTTTCCACTACCTGCAGATATTCAGCATGGGAAATACTGATTTTGATAGACAATACGCTGACTGAATAGGAGTCAGCAATCAGGGGTCATTTCCTGCAGGAGCGCACAGGAGCGGAGCTCCGGCAGTAAAGAGCCCAGGGGGCGGGCACATGCAACAAGCCTCACCCCCTGCTCCCAGCAGCCCTCAGTCAGAGCAAGAAGCAGCCAGGTAAGCTGCAGAGCTCCCCCTGGCCCCCTGGTCCAAAACAGTCCAGTGGCACCTTTAAGACCAAGTTTTATTCAGGTACAAGCTCTCCCTCCTCTGCCAGGACAGATCTGCATGTCCCCCCCCCCTCGATAGCTAGCAATCCAAAACAGTCCAGTGGCGCCTGAGCGGTGGGTGTTGCCTTCTGACACACTTCCGGTGATGTCAGGGGTGTGTGGCATATGCAAATGAGTTATGCTAATGAGTTATGCTAATGAGCTCCTGCATCTCTCTTTCTACGAAATGACCCCTGGTCAGCATCAATACTCCCTCTGAGCCGTGGAGTCTTGTGAGCCAAAACTCTACCTTGTGAGCTACTGGCATGAAAGCTGTGAGCGAGCAATTTGGCTGCTGCATCAATCGGTTTGCTCTGGAGCCCTCCTGCCTGAGCTGAGACAAAAATGTGTGAGCCAGAGGCTAAAAAACTGTGAGCTAGCTCACACGAACTCAGCTTAGAGGGAATACTGGTCCGCATCATATGTATGTACTGAGACGTTCAAGAGCGGGACATTCAGATTGAAGCTAAAGCCTTAGTTTGTTGTGTGCTTCAAAATCTTCTGCTACACTGGCTGCTCTGGGAGGCTTTGGGGGAGAGATGCCGACGAAACATACAGAGACTCTGAGTTTGTCAGGTTGAAGAGGCAGGAGGGAAGGCACCAAAGCTCAGAGGCAGAACATCTGGTTGTCATGCAGAAGGGTCCAGGTTCAGTCCCTGGCATCTCCAGTTGAAAGGATCAGGTAACGGGTGATGTGAAAGACCTCTGCCTGAGACTCTAGAGAGCTGCTGCCAGTCTGAGTAGACAATACTGACCTTGATGGACCAGTCATCTGATTCAGACAAGGCTTCATGGGTCCATGAGCTCAACAGGGAAGCAAACTTTCCTCTCCCCTCCCACTCTGGTCTACATACTGAAGAGAAGGCCTTGGACCCGGGATTTCAAACAAAAACTACCACACTCACAGCCCACTACCTTAACAGCTACAAAACTCTAGCACAGTGAGCATAGGTATGAAATCCTATTACCAGACATGTGCTGCCCCAGCCAGCGTTTTAAACTTTAGTTAAGTAGAACTGCCATATATCTTTAAGAGCAGTGCTCCCTGGGAATTGAAGTCTTTAGTTAGACATCCCACAGCATCCGGCACACAGACACGTGAGGATTCGAGTTTTACAGCTCTCTTCCTCTCTTCCCGTGGCCTTTGTTCTCTTTAAACGGCAAGGAGGTGGGAACGTGCAATCCTTTTCACCATGAGCCACTGAACTGAATTAGATTACAAAATATGTGAATTTCACCAGTTATTCAGCTTTGAGCACAAGACATTTGAACCTATGAGGTTCTGCTAGGATTCATGTCCAGGTTCTGCACAGAGCTAGGGTTCAGGCTGTGTTTAGTGTCAGACCCTGCAGAGAGTGTTAAGTTCTCTGCCTCATTCACCATCGCTGACCTTGTAGAATGACTTTCCCAAAAACTGGCAGTCCCTGCAGGGTCGAGCAGTTCCAGCGGCGGTCACGGAACTGGTGCTGGCACTCCTCGAGGGCCAGCTCGGCCGCACGCTTCACGGTATCCATGGCTTCCACCTGGCGGTGGCACATTCTCACCTGCTCTTCGGCCAACCCCTTCAGACTTTCGCAGGCCCCGGGATCCCGTTGGAGCCCTCGCAGGGGTGGCTGCTTGGCCAGGTATCTGGACAAAAGGAGACAGGGGACTGAGTCAGGGAGTATTGGAGAAAGAAGCAACTCCCCTAGCTAGATGACTGCCCTGACGCTGAAATTCTAAACTAGTCCAGTCCAGTCGGACCTCGGAAGCTAAGCAGGGTGGACCTTGGTTAGTATTTAGGTGAGAGACCACCAAGGAAGTCCAGGGATGCTGTGTAGAGGCAGGCAATGGCAAGCCACCTGTGTTCCTGCCTTGCCTTGAAAATCCTACAGAGTTGCTATAAATTAGCTGTGACTTGGTGGCACGTTACATGCCTGAGAGGTAAGTCAAACAGAGTAGAAGAAGAAGAAGAAGAGAAGAAGAGATTGGATTTATACCCCGCCCTTCACTTGGAGTCTCAGAGGGGCTTACAAACTCCTTTCCCTCCCCCTCCCCACAACAGACACCCTGTGAGGTAGGCGGGGCTGAGAGAGCTCTGACAGAAACTGCCCTTTTTCAAGGACAGCTGTGCCAGAGCTTGTGACTGACCCAAGGTCACATCAGCAGGTGCAAGTGGAGGAGTGGGGAATCAAACCCGGTTCTCCCAGATTAGAGTGCGCGCACTTAACCGCTACACCAAACTGGCTCTCAAGTAGAGGGCCAACAATTAAAACTTTAATGTATATAATATAAAAATACATGTATTTATTAGTAAAGAATTAAAAAACATATAAGGGCCCAAGTACACCTCATATAAAAATACCAAAATCATACACACAAGGGCCAATGGACTTGACCTGACGCATTTCGGCCTACGTGGGCCTTCTTCAGAGGTCAAACACAATGAGGAACAAATTGGCTTATACCATAATACAATACAATTATAAAACATGGATGCAAAATGGACCAGAAAGGAATTGATCCAAAGTGAAACCACTAGACACAGAATAAAAGTACAAACGAGGCCTCCCAAGATCCAATCACATGCCAAATGATTGTTTAGT